GGGGTGGAAAACTATTTTGGAAGGTCCAAAGCTCATATCTCTTTGGGGTTACACATAGTGTCCAAATTGTGCAAAGTTAATTATGAAAACAGAAATACACCTTTAACTACAGCACATGGCAGGCAGAGGCAGGTATATCTCTAGGAGTTTGAGGCCAATCTGGTTCATGTAGTTCCTGGATAGTCAGGGATACATAGTGAGAATACACACACACACACACACACACACACACACACACACACACACACACCTCCTTTCCATGAATGAATATTGATATATATTTACCAACTTTTGTTTTGTTTTGCTTCCAGCTGACAACATGAAGTGTCTGTCTGCTCTAGATGGGCTGTGTTCCAGGAATGAAGAGGGGAGCTGAAGTTATCGCAACCTCTGTTGCTGACTTAGAGAAAGCTAGCAGACTATGAACAAACTTGAGTGCTTCACTCAAGGGGTGTGTCTGAGTAAACAGAGTTCTTAATTTAAAAAAATGTGGGTTTCACAAAGTGAAAATCAGTGGAAAGCGTAAGATGACTTTGGGATCCTGAAGGGAGAAGTGGGGTGCATTAAAATTCTACACTGCTCATGTGAAACCACGACAGAATGCCAGATGCTGCTTGGCTGTAGCACAAGGAAAGAACAGGAACATTGGAACTGTCTGAGCTCCTTTTCCATGGAGAAACAGAGGCTTCATGGCGGCTAATATCAAGTATGAGAAGGATGTCTAGGTAGGAACGGCTCAGATATCATCCTCGGGTGGCTTGAAGGCAAAAATATGAGCCAACGAAGTACAGGATCTAGAATGTGACTCAGGATAAGGAAGAACTATTTAACCAGCCCTCTCAGCCAGTAATGCAGTGGGCTGCTTGCCCAGAGATCGACTTCTCCATCATGTCAAGTGTGTGGGCAGACACTGGTCATTCACTTTTTGGGGAACGTTCTCAAGAGCCACACATCATTTTGTGTTTGACTCTGGAGTCGATTCTGATTTTGTTTCTTATGACCTCGGGACAGTGTTAACATGAGCAGAAAGGAACAAAAAAGGGGTGCTGTAGCTAACAGGGTAGAGGGCAGTTAAAAAGAGTAAATCATAGATAGCTAGGGTGGTAGCCCACTCTTGTAATCCCAGCACCCAGACGGTTGGGGCAGGAAGACTGTAAGTTCAAGGCCAGCTCAGGCAATTTAGTGACATAGTGTCTCAAAAAATAAAAATGAAAACAAAAACAAAACAAAACAACAAAAAAAAACAGTGTGTGTGACTCAGAATGTGGAGGATTGAATGAGAAAGGCCCCATAGATTCAGGTATTTGAATGCTTCGTCATCACAGAGTGGCACTACTTGAGAAGGATTAGGAGGTGGAGCCTTGTAGGAGTACACGGAAGTGTGTCACTGTGACTGCGCTTTGAGGTTTCCAAAGCCCAAGCCAGTCCCAGTGGTTCTGTCTTCCCGAGGCCTGTGGATCTGGATGAAGAGCTCTCAGCTACTGACCAGGCACCAGATCTGCCTTCATGCTGCTGAGTTTGGGAACAGACGCTTGTTAATCACTCAGACACCAGACTAGAGAGCCAGACATTGGTCTGCTCTGAAGGCAGGTTCTTTTTTTTTTTTTTTTTTTTAAATACAAAAAACCATAACCGGGTAACAACTAGGTACCAAAACTGTAACCAGGTATAGAAAACAAGCTGAAACTAGGTACCAAAAATGCAACCCTGTATCCAGGTGAAGAAAGCAGCATTACATCATTTTGACTAGTTGGACAAAGCACTTCTAACTGACTTTTAATTTGATTGGTTCTGCAGTCGGGGGACTTCCTAGAGTGTCCAGGTAACAAAGTATACAATGTTTGGGAAATGAAACCGTAGAAACATAATCAAAATGGACACTTGGAGGCAAAATGGCTTCTGATATGCTAAAGGCTACAGCAGTTGTTAACAGAGGAGCCATAGTTATGCTAAGAAATAAAGTAGGTCTCAACAGAGGGGCTATAGAACTTAAGACAGGGTCAAAGAGCACCTGCCTAGACTGCACAACAGTTTGGTTCCCAGCAGATTGCTTACGCGCGCACGCATATAAACACACACGCACGCGCACACACACACAACCACAACAACGACAACAAGCTCTGTTGTCTAGATGATCAACTTCTCAGCCCTAGGCATCAGTATCATCTCCAACTGATAAATGGCCGCTCAAAACAATTACCTTTAAAAGGAGGACACCAGTCAACATCTTTTGTGGGATTTTTGTGTTCGCACCAAGGACAACAACTTTAAAACAGAATGTTAGTGATGTTCAGAAAAGGGGAGGGTACCATCCCACGTAGGTCACCTTCCTAAGCTGGGCCTGAAACAGCGCTGAGGATCATGGGATAGCGGGCAAAGCCAATCTTTGAAAGTAGCCCGAAGGCCATGGAAAAAGTGAAAAAGAGGAGCAAGAGTGGATGGGCTGTGGGTGTGCTGAGGGGTTGTTGAACAGAGGAGCACGTGTGCTTTTGTGCGTGGGCCCTGCCAAAGATCCCGAGCTGAAGACCGGAGAGGAAGCCAAGAGCCCAGGCCGTAGGGCTAACGTTGCTTTAACTCCCCACTGACCTTGTAGGGTCAGCTTCCTTCCCATCGCCATATGCAGGCACCCTATTAGTTGAAAAGCACTCCCACTTGGCCTTCGGGAAGAAATGGCTTTAGAAATTGAAGTCTGCATGTATGCCAAATGTATCTCTGTTTTCAAGGGCACAGGTAGGAGAACTGATGAGAAGGGGAGGCGAGAGGGGAGGCGAGAGGGGAGCCTGACCAGAGTTGCTCAGCTTTCCCAGGCCGTCCCAGGGAGCTCCGAGGGTGATGTGGCCATCACATGCCTGTAGCCGCTAGACCAGCCAAGCACCCCAGAACCAAGCGGGCATCCTGACTGTCTCTTCGTGAAGCAAACCCCTTCACAGTTTTCAAGGCTGAAAAGACGAGGCACGCCCCTCCCCCACTAGATGGCACTGAAACGCCTTGTTCGAGATTTTCAAAATGCAGGGAGGAAAAAAAAAAAAAGACAAAAAGAATATGGTGGAGGTGCGTTCATTTGGACTCACAGGTCCGCGGTTGCAAAGCTGGGTCCCCAGGGCCTTCTCTTCTCCCCAGGGCAGCGCTTTATCCCTCAATGGGGGACCTCGAGAGAGGGTGAAAACGAAGGGGGAGCTTTAGAATGAAATCCCTAGTATGTGGAGCCGGGTGGGAGGCTCCCAGCCGTTGCGGCGCTGTCTCACGTGAGAAAAGCAGGGGGCGGGGCGGGGTGGGGATGGATCCGCTAGCCTGGGCCCAGCCCTTCAAGGTCTGGAGTCCCATCCCACCTCAAAGAGGCTCTGCAGAGGCTAAATCCAGCGGTCAGAGAGAAGCACGACAGACCCTACACCGAGACTGCCTTTAACTCTTCCTCTCCCCCAACATCCACAATTGCCCTCTCGCCACACTGCGATTCTCTCCTGGTCCTGAACAGCTCAGTCACTTGTCTCCTTTCCTTGCTGAAGAGTCAGGGCAGGTGTGTGTGTGTGTGTGTGTGTGTGTGTGTGTGTGTGTGTGTGTGTTGGGGTGTCGGGCGCTGGCTGGCAGCTGCTCTCTGCTCAGGTCCAGGTGGAAACGCCAGTAGCCAAGGTAGTGCTTAGGGCTTTCTGGGAAAAGCAAAGATCAAAGGAACAGGAGACACTAGCGGTGGAAACCCGGGGGCAGAGGTTCACTCAGCTCCTTAAGGGCAATTCTCCGAGCATTCTCTTCTTTAAAGAACTGTGGCGAACTGAAAAAGAATTTTTCACGGTCAAAAGAGAAACAGAAGACGCAGGCACTAACCCTACATGTATAATAGTACACGTAAACATGCTACATGCCACATGTATGTATATGTACATAAATATGGATGTGACGGAGCGCATATCTACCTAGACACCATTGACTCGCCTGCCCAGAGAACAAGGCTCAGACAGTTCGTGCCTGGGAAATGGTGCGGTTTAACTTTAAGAAGGCTAGAAAAATAAGAGATGAGGCTCACGTTGCACGGATGACATCACTAGCTTTTGGCTGCGCGCTCCGTGTTCTCGGCTGTGGGCTTTAGCCAAGGCTGCAGCGCCTGGAGGCCGAGCGATTGACAGCTGCTTTCTCGGGCGCCCACACCCGGGCAATGCGATTTCTGGAGCCCCTGGGGCGCAGCCCGGGCTCCCTCTCCTCGCGGGCGTCGGCCGAGCCTGCGGGGCCAGGAAACGTCCGCAGCTCGAGGAGGAGGTAGGGAGGGGAGCCGAGGCACCCAGGCTCCCCCCCACCCTCCACCCCGCCCCATTCACCACAGTGCGGGGAGCCGGATCGCAGGACGCCGAGGCCGGGACGGGATCCTCCGCACAAGGCCGAGGGACCCCGTGTCTCCGCGCCCGGGTGGGCTGCGAGGAGAATGGTGCAGTCTGAGAGCGGCTGAGCTCAGCCGGCCAGAGAAACCGGCGCTGGGGTGCTCGGGCTCCGGCGGCGGCGAAGGGGGCGGGCTGCCTCGAGCAGCCGGGCCCCGGGCTTTCTCCGCGCCCGCAGCAGCATTTGCCTAGCGCCTGGGCACCTCGCGCGCGGGGCTGCGGGAAGCCGGGGGGAGCGGCGCTGAGGGGATCTTGGAGGAGGCCGGGTGCACACAGTCCGGGAGGACGAGAGCGCCGGAGAGAGCGGCTGGACGCGGGGAAGGAAGGCTGGCGGCCGGGCCCGCAGCTCGCCACCGCCGAGCGACCTGTCCATGGTGTTGAAGGGGCTCCGAGCGCTCCCGGTGCGCCCTCCTCCGTGCAGCCCGCCCCTGGCGCCGCTCGGCTGCCGCCCAGGCTCTGCAGATCCCCGGCCCGGAACAGCCACCCGGGTGTCTCCGCTGCCCCAACGCGGGGCTGTCTGAATGGCGAGGCCAGAGGCGGGCCACCCGGGAGCTCGCGGGCCAAGCCTGGCAGAGGCCGTGCGTCCGCGGGCAGCTCGCCGCTAAGGGGCTCCTCGTGCCGGCGGCAGCCAGGGACCGGCTATCGATCGGGGGACCCGATTTTGAAAAGACCCGACGCAGAGGATAACAGTCCCGGGCGCGCACCCCAGGCCTCCGGCTGCAGACCGGAGAGGGGCGAGCCCGGGAGGACGAGATCCCGCGGGCACCCGGCGAGCGTCGCGCCCTCACACTCCTCTCGGCCGTCCCCAGCGAGCCGCGCGGCCGCACAGAGGAAGCCCGGCAATCCCCGCCGCGGCCGAGGACACTTGGTACTGAGTTGGCGCTTGCCCGGCCGCGAGGAGGGCTAGGACAGCCCCTGGACGGTGGGAAGTGGCCGCGTTGAGTTCCCCGCCGCGGGAGGACGCTGCACCTGCCCGGAGGATGCCCAGGGCCCTGCGGGAGCCTTTCCGGATCAGAACTTTTTAGGCTGCCCTCCCCTTCCCCCGCAGTCCCCCCCCAGGCCGCGTCCCCGCAGGTGGGGGCCCAGGGGGCGCCGCGGCGCAGCTCCCCTCCCGTCCCCACTCCCAGCTCGGCCGCCCGCCGCTTTGTTCCGGGCGCGCGGAGGGAAGGCGAGGCTGCGGCGGGTCATGCCCATGGTGTAGCCGCCAAGCGGAGGCATGGCTGCCGGAAGGTTACTGCTCTACACGGGCCTCTCGCTAGCGCTCTGCGCCCTCGGCATGCTGGCCGTGGCCATCTGCTCCGACCACTGGTACGAGACGGACGCCAGGAAGCACCGGGACAGGTGCAAGGCCTTCAACACCCGCCGGGTCGACCCCGGCTTCATTTACAACAACAACAACAACTTGCCTCTGCGCGCGAGCCGCTCGCGCCTGGACCGCTGGGAGGGCAAACTCCTCCGGGCCCGGAATCGCCGGCAGCTGTTCGCCATGAGCCCCGCGGACGAGTGCAGCCGGCAGTACAACTCCACCAACATGGGCCTCTGGAGGAAGTGCCACCGGCAGGGCTTTGACCCCGAGATCGCCGCCCTCCTACGGAAAGGTAAGCCCGAGGCGCGAGGCGTGGCGCTGCAGAGAGCCTCTAGGTAGGCCCTGCGGCCCCTCGTCTCTCCTGGTGGCTCCAGGCTATGGATTCTTCCGATTCTGAGTGGTCCAGCTGGTCAGGCCTGGCTGAGCCTCGGTGTGGACAGAACTCGCCTCTCCATAGCTGTAATAGATTGAGGCGAAGGCGTCACTCTTTGCTCACCTGCTGTCTTGCTCTTGTCTGTGCAGGTCTGCATGGAATCTCCTGGCCAGGGTTTTGTTTTTTTAAAGGCAGGGGCTAATGCTTCTTCAGCCTGTGAGCAGGAGGGGAATCTCCAGTGATGTGTTTCTCGAGGAAGACCTGTAGGGGTGATGTTAAGGGTAACTGGTTTCAAATTTAGATGTTGAACTGATTCGAACAAGGGGAACTGGGAATGGGGGGGGGATGTCTCCCGCAGAAGGCCGTATGCACCTCAGGAGCATTTACTTAGTAAGGCTGTGGAAGTCATGGTGTAAGTATTGGACTTATAAACACCAATCAATTACAGTCCCTGCCTTATAGTAGCCCCAAGCAGGTAACTAGTAGCATTCCATTACAGCCTTTGTTTCTTCTCTTGGAAAAGTGTTTGGCAGAAGTGACAGTGAGCGCTGAATATCAGCAGTCTAATAAGCACAAAAAAAGTAACAGCAGAGTGGGCTCATCAGAAGGAAAAAAAAATACCATTTTCCGATTTGTGTAGACCACTCAAGGCTTATAAAACAGAAAAAAGCAAATATTTGCTAATAGCACTTGCTATTTGAATGTGCTCACATGCACTGAAAAGTCTGCTGATGTGATGCAATTTGCAAATCCTATATGATTTATACGCTGGGAGTCAGCCTGTCTCATCAGCCTACTGAAATCCTGTGATGTGCTTTAATGTCGCTCGGAGGAGGGGACTGTCTCCCTTCCTATGATGGCTGCACCCCGGGAAGATGTGTAGATTTTAGATCTTGCTCCTTTCCTCATGTGCCGCTCTCTTCAGCTACTGAGTAGCTGACAACTGTGCTAATATTTGCAAACGTGCTTTGAAGCCAAGACACAAAGAGATTCTAAACGTCTCATATCACCATGAAGTTCACTGGTGCTCTAAAATAATATCTGAGAGGGCCAGTGTACTTTGATTTATAAAAGTGTTGAGGTTGTTCAGAAGAAATTGTTAATTTGAACACACACACACACACACACACACACACACACATACACACACACGCACCACCACCACCCAACTAGGTAAGGATGACAAGTAGTGGGGGAGGAGAAAGAGAGTGAGTGTCCGTCTTGGCATTTGTTGTGTAGCTTCTCCCGAGTGAGCAGAAATGCCAGTCCTAGGCATGTGCGTCTGGTGCTTCCAGGCTCTTAGTAATGTGACCAGACTCTCAGGAATGTGGTTGGTCCCAGGTGGAGCCCTGCAACTCTGAACTATGTACAAGGTGTTATGGGGCTCGACTGAGAAGCAGGAAAACAAGAGGAAGAGAATTATTCTTCACCAGGGGGACTTTGTAAACGGTTTCCGGTCAATGGTATTATTTTACCTATTTTTCAGTCTTCTTTAAAGTGGAAAGAATAGGTAACTAGCTAATAATGACTGGTGAAGACATAATGACTGGTGAAGGACATTCTTAAATTTCCTTCCTTGGGCCTTTTAGAACAAGAGAGGTATCTTGTGTATGGTATTGGTTGGCCACACTTAGAAAAAGAGGGGAATGGGATTTGTGGCTTCTGGTGGCTCTGTCTAGGCCTCAGATTCCATCTTGTCTGTTTGGCAATCTGACTAGAGAGGTTGATTTGGTCTGTGGATCAGAGGGATTGGTTACCATAGTGACAAGTTCTTCCGGTGAAGCTGGAAACATAGTGACAGGGAAAAGAAAGGGGAAGAATGAACAACATTTTGACTTTGTATCGACTGATTTTTAATTGCAGCAACAGAAAATGGACACGCACAGCAGGGGGATTGAATACACTGATACCCAGAGTTGGCAGGGCATTGTATTTCACTTGAACTAATGGAAATGCTGCTCCCCATCACCTCAAATACAGCAATCACTGTCAGCTGCAAGCCCTTGCTCACCACGGTTGTTTCTGTCCTTTTGGCATTCTTGTTAGGCATTATTGAGATAGATGGCATGCTGGGCTTACAAATCCTGAGAGACCTAAGGCCATCATCCTCATTTTTTAACCTCATAACATCATCTTTGAGTGCCAGATCCTCCCTTTCTAAGCATCAATAGGCACACTTTGGAAACAAGCGCATTTTATATTAGTAGAATTTATAGACAATTCTAATCACACATAGAAAGCAGTTTCTAGAACTAACCAGCATTTGTCCTAGATAGATGGATTTTATAAGGAGGTTAAAATTGATAATTCTGTTTTTAAATTTAGGATATCTTAAGGAAAGAAATTTATCTCATATTATTTATTAGAAGCCCCAAAGAAAAGTTAGACCTTTATCTTATTTTTGAAATATCTTTTATTACAATTGTGGGAGATATATTTTGGGCAAAGAAATAGGAGAAAAGGTTGTTTAAAGTCTATTTAAAATTTTATGGGAAAATGTGAGTTGCATCTTAATGATCCTATTGCTCTAAAGCAGTATTTATCAACCTGTGAGTCATGCCCCCCCTTGGGGTCACAAATCAGATAGCCCGGATATCAGATGGTTTACATTACAACCCATAACAGTAGCAAAATTACAGTTCTGAAGAAGCAATGAAGTAATTTTATGGCTGGGGCCACCTCACCATGAGGACTTGTGTTGGGTTGCAGCTTTAGGGAGGTTGCGAACCACTCACTGCCCAAAGGGTTCTGTCACTCGTTAAGTCAGTTATCCCATTAAAGTGTTGTTTGTGCTTTTGAAGGAAAGCAGAACCACGGAATGAGTAAGAAGGTAGAAGCCAAACTACCAGACATCAAGTATCTTGGATTCAGGTTTCTTTCTTTCTTTCTTTCTTTCTTTCTTTCTTTCTTTCTTTCTTTCTTTCTTTCTTTCTTTCTTTCTT